AAGTGCAATTTAAAGTGGACCATTGTGCTTAATTAGTATGAACATATGTTCACGTTTGTTAAAGGGAATTAGTCTAAACTGAATAGTTTCGAATCATGTTAACAAATTTATTTGTTATTTCCACCATCATAGATATCGATTCTTTGGGGGCCAAGGTCCCTCAGTTCACCCAAAGGACAAGAACTCAAAGTAAGATTTCTTTTTGTGTCCTATTCTTATGGAAATGCCACATCCAAAGCTATCTTCTTGAATGATGTTGATAGGGTCGTTGCTGATCTCCTGTCCTTTATTGATTAAATTAACGAATTTAAGTATTTTAACTTTTATTTTATGTAATATTTCTTTTTTTTTTAGTATTTCAGAGAAATTGAAAACTTTTGTATTATATTGAGAACCTATTTAATCTTAATATCTCATCTTTATCTTACTGATATAACTTGTGATCATGGCCAACTATGCCTTGTTAAAATAACTAACACGAAAACTGCTTAAAACCGTTCAGAATTAATGATCGAAATCGGTCGAAAATTTGAAAAAACCGACCGATTTCCGACCGACTTTAATCCGTCGAAAATATGTTGGTCGGTATAAAATAGCGCCTAAAGTCGGTCGCAATTTTCGACCAATTTCGGTCGGTAAATTAATTTTCACAAACGACCCAAAAAGAAAAAATTTGCCCAAAAAACCGACCGAAGTCGATCGATTTTTTTAATTATGCAATTAAAAAATGTACCTTATGGGACTCGAACCAGGGTCTGTACTATGGCAGGATACTATTTCACCACTAGACTATTGGTACATTTTGGTTTAAAACTTTCTTTTAATTTATTTGTACTCCTTAATTTCATTTTTGCGCGAAAATAACCGACCGATTTCGGTTGATTTTATCAAACATATAAAATTACCGACCGAAGTCGGTCGATTTTTTAAAATGACTTACTGAAATAACCGACCGATTTCGGTCGGTTTTTGAATATCAGTTTAATTTATTTTATATGAAAAACAACCGGTTTCGGTCGGTTTCTTAAAAAATAAATTTTGCGGGATGCTAAAATAGTTTCCCGCATTTTTGTGCCAAAAAAAACCGATTGAAGTCAGTCGGTTTCGTAAAAAAAATTAAAAAATTAAAAATATTCTAGAAAACTAACCGACCGACTTCGGTCGGTTTTGGCCGAATTTCTAGTACGCAGCATAGGCTCTTGGTGATGGACGTCAGTATTATGATGAAGAGGAAGAAGAGGACTGCACGAGGTCGACCGAGGATCGGGTGGGCAGCCTTGACTAAGAATAAAGCTCAGGAGTTGGAAGGGAGGCTTTCGGCCGTGGGAGCCAGGGGGAGTAGTGGGACGCGAGCGTTATGTGGTCGACCACGGCAGATTATATACGGGAGGCAGCGAGAGAGGCGTTGGGAGTCTTGAAGGGTTTCGCTAGCGGGCGCAAAGGCGACTGGTGGTGGAATGAAGTGGTCCAAGGTAAAGTGGAAGTAAAGAAGGCGGCGTACCTGAAGTTAGTAGGGAGCACATGCGAGGTTGAGAGGAGTGCGAACAGGAAGAGGTATAAAGTAGCTAGGAAGGAGGCGAAACTGGCGGTCGCGGAGGCTAAGACTGCGGCTTTTAGTCGTCTGTATGAGGATTTAGGGGCCAAAGGCGGGGAGAAGAAATTATTCCGGCTGGTTAAAGCGAGGGAGAGGAAGGCGCGGGATTTGGATCAAGTGAGGTGCATCAAAGACGAGGACGGTAGAGTATTGATGGAAGAGGCCCAGGTTAAGCGGAGATGACAGACTTACTTTCATAAACTTCTGAATGAAGAAGGGGATCAGGATATTGTGCTTGGCGAGTTGGGGAATCCTAAGAGCCACCGCGATTTTGGGTACTGTAGGCGCATCAAGGTTGGGGAGGTCGTGGGAGCCATGTGAAAGATGAGCAGGGGCAAAGCTACCGGTCCTGACGAGATTCCGGTAAAATTGTGGATGTGTGTGGGTAGAGTAGGTTTGGAGTGGCTAACAGGGTTGTTTAATGTTATTTTTAGGACGAAGAGGATGTCGGACGAGTGGAGGTGGAGTACGGTGGTTCCATTGTACAAGAACAAAGGTGACATCCAGAGTTGCAACAATTATAGGGGTATCAAACTATTGAGTCATACCATGAAAGTGTGGGAGAGGGTGGTAGAAGCGAGGGTGAGGAGGACAGTGTCTGTATTAGACAACCAGTTCGGGTTCATGCCGGGTCGTTCTACTACGGAAGCTATCCACCTTATTAGGAGGTTGGTGGAACAGTACAGGGATAGGAAGAAGGATCTGCATATGGTATTTATTGACCTGGAGAAAGCTTATGACGAGGTTCCTAGAGAGGTTCTTTGGAGATGCCTAGAGGCTAAAGGTATGCCGGTTGCTTACATTAGGGCGATTAAGGACATGTATGATGGATCTAAGACTCGGGTTAGGACAGTGGGAGGCGGCTCCAAGCATTTTCCGGTTGTTATGGGGTTACACCAAGGATCTGCGCTCAGCCCATTCCTGTTTTCTCTGGTGATGGATGCACTGACACACCATGTTCAAGAGAGGTGCCATGGTGTATGTTATTTGCTGATGACATTATTCTGATTGACGAGACGCGGAGTGGCGTTAACGAGAGGCTGGAGGTCTGGAGACAGGCCCTTGAGCCAAAGGGTTTCGAGTTGAGCAGGACAAAGACGGAATATCCTGAGTGTATGTTCAGTGTCGAGCCGTGGGAAGAGGGCATGGGCGTGAGGCTTGGATCGCAGGTCATTTCCAAGAGAGATAGTTTCAAGTACCTTGGGTCAGTTATCCATGGGGGTGGGAGATCGACGAGGATGTCACACACCGTATAGGGGTGGGGTGGACGAAATGGGGGCTAGCATCTGGAGAGTTGAGCATATTTAGTCTTCCAGTGTGAGGCTAAGCTGATAGGATTTAGTCTTAGACTGCTAGTGGTCAGTGCTGTGTTTACACTATTCCATTTTCATAGTGCCGGACATTATTTACTGGTCATTATTTATGCATTTCATCTATTTACTAGTTCTTATGTTGTGTTATTGTTTTCATGATGGTACCGATATATTTTCTCTTTTTTGTCTTTTCGTCAGGGTCTATTGGAAACAGCCTCTCTACCCCATCGGGGTAGAGGTAAGGTCTGCGTACACACTACCCTCCCTAGACCCCACTTGTGGGACTATACTGGGTCGTTGTTATTGTTGTTGTTGTTGTTATAAGTGATTGCTGCAAATATGATCCAGTCTAAAAGCCCGAAGTCGAATCCAACAGAGAACTAAGGTTTTGCTGTATCTGTTAAGTATCACTAATATGACAAGCTTGAACAATTCCTAAGTTATAAATATTGAGATTTTCTTCTAACTAATTGAAGTATTAAATAATCAACTAAAGATACTAATGGTTGGAGACAATATTTAAGGAGAGGTCTAGAGTTATGATTTCCCCAATTGTCGGAATTCTTGCCGCTACGTCTCCTATAATTTTCGCGTAAGTAATTTCTACCCATCGTGAGTACTTCGGATGTCATAATTATCTTCCGAGCAACTACCACAATTTACTAGACGTATTCTTCCGAACTACGCTAGCTGGCACTAGTTCACCACTCACCAAGATCGCACCAAGGTTTCGTTATTCCTAATCCCACCGTTAAGCCCTCCGTATTGATTCCTCACATACGTTAGGAGTGATATTGTTCAACAACTTCTTAAATATATACTCTTTTCCCTGCAATACACACTAAATAGGCACAGTCAATTGAGGGGCCTTCAATCAACAACAACAAATACATAGTTGAACAAGTAAAGAAATCCAACGATAAAATTATATTAAACGCAACAGAAAATCATTCTTCAAAAGGTTCCATCAAACCCTAGATAAAAGAAATTAGTTACTCATAACCCTACTAACAATCATGATAATAATTGAAAATATTAAGCTATAGATTAAGGAAGAACGGAGAGAAAACTCTTGCAATTTGTTGCTTCCAAGTGTTCCCGTAGCCTTTTGCCTCTCCAATAATGTCTCTCCAATAAGAAATATACATGGTGGGGGTGTGTAGGGTTGAAACTATCAATTCCTAGCCGAATTAGGACGAAATCCGCCCTTGGGGCGTCCCGCTTTGTGCTTGGCATGAACCTGGACACTAAACTTTTTCCACTTTTGTGCCTTGCTGCCCTTGGCGTTTTGGTTGGCGCCTGGCACGAACCTGGGCACCATAGTCATACTTCCTCCAAATTCTTCCATTTTGACTTTAATTTGCATGTTAAGTTTTCCAAATCACTTCCAATTGACTCCTACATATATAAATGGGGTAATCACTTTTAGCCCGCGCCAGAAACTATTCATTTGGTAGCCGAAAAAATTTGTATAATTTTTGTATATAACATATAGAATGTATATGTATACAAAAAATATACAAATTTTACATATTTCTCAGCTATTATCTTTACAGCGGCTATCAAGTATCATTTTTCCAAAAAATATATCATTATTAAGCTCAAGTCACAAATATTCACACTAAAGTTAACAAGATCGAGGCATAATGCAAGACAAATTACGAGCAAAAGCATGGATTTTTAGCCAAAATCAACTTGTTGCAATAAAAATATAAGCTGACTCTTTTATTAGGTGAGAGAGTCACTACTGAAAAATTGGTCTACGGTAACGGTTGGCAAACCGTCCCCACAGACTGCCAAACCGTTACCGTAGGGATTTTGGAACGGTTTACTAACCGTCACATCAGCCGGGATTTTGGAACGGTTTACTAACCGTCACAGTACAAAATAAACTTTTCTGTTTTGGTTCCATGTAGAAACAAGATTTAGCCACACTTATAGTTCCATCTTTATTTATTCTTGGTTGTAGCTCCTTTCGTATCCCCATTTCTTGTAAGTCATAGCGAGATTTTTCATGATCCTTTGATTTTCCATTTATTTCTAATAAAGTCCCAAGCAAACTATCACATATGTTTTTCTCGATGTGCATCACATCAAGATTGTGCCTCAATTTTTTTATGCATCCAATATGGCAATTCAAAAAGAATGAATCTCTTTTTCCACAGACCCTTATCACTCCGAGGCCTTTTTTTAGTGCTCTTTCCAAAGATATTGTTGAATTCAAGCAGCCCTTCAAACACTTCTTCACCCGACAAGGGAGCAGGTGCAGGTCTATGCTCCTCCTTACCATCAAAAGACTTCTTATCTCTTCGGAATGGATGATCACGAGGCAAAAATCTTCGATGGCCCAAGTAACACATCTTGTGACTATGTTTGAGATATTGAGAACATGTGTCATAATTGCAAGTGGGGCATGCTAATCTCCCCTTAGTGCTCCATCCTGAAAGCATTGCTAATGCTGGAAAGTCACTAACTGTCCATAATAAGGTAGCACGCATTCGAAATGTTTGGTTGGTTTCAGCATCAAATGTGTCTATCCCAGTTTCCCATAGTTCCTTCAATTCATCAATTAATGGTCGTAGGTACACATCTATATCATTTTCCGGAGATGATGGACCTGGAATGATCATCGATAACATTATATACTCTGGCTTCATGCAAATCAACGGTGATAAATTATAGTTCATTAACATAACAGGCCACGTACTATGAGAAATGCTCATGGTCTGAAACGGGTTGAAACTATCACTTGAAAGACCCAATCTAACATTACGAGGATCTCTAGAGAAGTCTGGGTGCAAAGAATCAAAAGCCTTCCAAGCTTCCCCATCAGCGAGATGTCTTATATTCCCATCATTGGGTCGTTCATTAGCATGCCATCTCATTGCAGCAGCCGTTTCAGGACACATGAATATCCTTTGAAGCCTAGGCTTTAAAGGAAAGTACCTTAAAACCTTTGCAGGGAAATTTGAGCTTGCTTTAGTCAAAGGACCAGCACTCTTCCATTTTGAAGACCCACAAATAGAGCAATTATCGACATTCGCTTTTTCTTTCCAAAATAACATGCAATAATTAGGGCATGCATGTATTTTTTCATAATGAAGACCCAAATCTTTTATCATGTTTCTAGCCTTGTTGAAAGATTCTGGTACCTGAGCAAAGGGAAATGCCTCTTTTAGCAACTCTAACAAATCTGAGAAAGCCACATTACTCAACCCATGCAAGGATTTAAGCAAGTACAACCAAATAGTGAAACTCAGTTTACTGAAATTTTCACACCCCGGGTATAACTCTTGTTTTCCTTCCTCCAGTAATTTGAAAAACTTCTTTGCATCTTCAGATAGTCTTTCCCCAACTCCTTCTTCATCCCCTGCCTGACCCTCTATATTTCTAAATATATCATGAAGTAGTCCATCAATATCGTCACGGATGGTAGATTCTTCATCATCATTGCTTGGATGAGGTGTATTTCTCGAGAAAAATCCTTCCCCGTGGAAAACCCATTTGGTATAACCTTCAGTAAATCCATGAATAACCAAATGATCCTCTACCACATTTCTATAATGCCAATAGCGATTCATGCACTTTTTGCAAGGGCATAATATTTCATTTCCTTGGGCGGCTCGTTCAAATGCCTTATCCAGAAAATCATTCACACCACGAATATACTCATCCGTCCATCTCAGGAGATTCATCCAACTTTTATCACCATTATCCATAGATATCCTATACAATAAAAGTAATTTAACAAAACTAACAAATAAACCAAAAGCATATTAATTTGACATTGACCACTGCTTTTAAGGCAAGTCCCTCTACACTATAACAAGTTAATGCTTTCATTGTCTTCGAACTCTTGTATGCTTTATGTTGATTTAGTCTGAGAGTTTAGGATGTTCTAATTTTTCTCTCATATGAATGTTCCTAAGTAATTTGAGATGAGAATTAGTTGATTGATGGATTAATTGTTGTTAGAAGTAAGAATCTTTATTTGCTAAATTCGAGTTTGTGTTTCTGTATGTTTTTAGTTTGACTTCCTCATCAATTAATTGTAGTGTTCCAGTATGAATTTAGTCTGTCAAGTTAGAACTATGCAAAGAAGCAATCTTTATTTGACTGTATATATGTGATGTCCACCAAATATGGAAGGATATTGGCGAGACTGAGATTCACTATCGTCAATACATACTTTACGTTGTGGAACTAAGATTGCTCCGGCATTCAATATTTCAAGTCCAAGAAGAAGTAACTCTACCTACTGAACTTTCCAAGCAATAGTATTGGAGAAAATAACTATTCATCTAAACAAGAAAAAAAAAAAGAAACTTGAACAAAAGCAGAAGCAGATAGCTACTGCATCAGTTATAAATAATATAAAGTCTGTACACACCCTTTAATTAACAAAAAAATGATTGGCAAAAGTGACCTCAATACATAATGTGTTAGGAAATCAAGGAATTGACCTGACTGCTGATTTTCAACTACAGTAAAAGAGAGAACTCAAAAAATATCTCTTCAAGCAGGCGTCACAAAGTGAACAAAGAAACCAAGAACATCACAAAGTGAACAAAGAAACCAAGAACACCAAAAACTATGTTCTGAGAAAAGCAGACAGCAAAATGAAAGTACCAATCAAAGCAATATGTACCCAAATATTGTGGATATCTTGGTTCTAGAAGAGATCAACTTTCTTTTTGTGGATATCTTGCTTAATCTGCTAGTAATGCTTTCTCTATAACATAAAAGGATTCGACTAAAAGTCTTGAATAGGTTGAAGGTTTCTATTGTAATATCTGAACTTCTACAATTGTTAATATAAAAGTAATTGCAGAAATTATTTTAAATCCATCGAGCCTTAATATTTCCGATACCTGGGGTATAATTTCTTAAATGCTGCTAAAGCTTGAATTACAGGTGAGGTACACTCTACATAACTAGAAATAATTTTGGCTAATCTTAAGTTCCAGACCTTTTTGCACACACCTCAAATAGTCTGATAGATGAAACAAGGTACAGGTGCAGATGCCTTAAGGATAATCAATAACAATATCACCGAAAGTCTCAGCAGGGTTGACTATCTGAAGGAGGAAAACATGATTCCACATTAACAATGAACTTGCATAATAGAAGTCTAAGAATCAGAAGAATGACAAAACATGTAAGTAGTCTCTTATCTATATTATCAGTAATGAGAAGGGAGCAGTTCCTTTGCCGAGAACTCATGTTTTCTCTTGCATTTAATTAACTTTATTATATTTTATATTTTGCCATGAGAATCCTTTCAATTGTATAGTGTATTAGTCAATACATCTATATCTAAATATTTTAGCAATTGCGTTTGCACAGTCTCTTTTTTGACTGTGTTATAGGGAGTTAGATGTTATAAACCAACAGATATTAACTCTAAAAATCAATCATAGTTATATGTTAATTAACCATAACTATGATTTGTGAAAAAATAACAGGCCTCATCAAAACTTGCGCATTAACATTGAAAGAAACCCTAAACCAAAAAATCAAAAAAAAAAGTAACAACACAGTACTGATATATGCAAAAAATAGGTCAATAGAAAGCTTACAAGATGAAGAATCTTGATCTGGAGAGCTTCAAATTCTGAATCTTCCGGTCGCCAGAGAGAATCGCAAAAAAAAAAACACCTAATCAAAGAAGAAACATCAGGGGATTGGTGGAAGAGAGGAGTTGCGGGGGGGGGGGNGTCAAACATCTCGAACTTATGAGGTCTGTACCCCTCTGGCAGTTCCACATCTGGTTGTATGCACAGGTCTTCATAGTTTAAACCTTCTATCCCTTTGCCGCCTTCGACACCCTGAACCCGACTTGTCAATTTGTTGAGTTCTTCGGCCATGTTCTTGATGAGCAGGTCCTTCTCAGCTGATTCTGGTGTATAGGAAGTTGGTTGAGTAGGGTGAGGTACGGTCTCAACATATTTAGGGTTGTTTGGATGAGTGCCAAGGACTTGGGTATAGTGATGTTCATTGGTTGAGTTTTGAGGAAGACGAGTGACGCAGTAGAAGAAGAAATTTTATTTTAGTTATTATATTTACCAAAATAAAATAAATAACAAATAAAAGGAAAAAGGGGTTAAATTGGCGAATTTTACAAAATTCGGGGGGGGGGGGGGGG